CGCACCCCGCCAGGCACCCCCGACAGCGGCAAACCCCGATCCCCGCAAACGCCAAGCCCCGCAACCCCGCTGCCCCACAGGGTACCCCCGCCACCGCACCACCGGCTCCGCAACCTCGACACAGATGCCCGGTAGCACATCCCCGCCCCCGCGATGCGGCAACCCCGCTCCCGCCAAGGGAGGTCCGCGCCCCCGGGGGGGACCCCGTGTGGGGGTATTTTTTGCAGGACACAAAAAATGCCAGGGGCTGCACGCCGGCGGTGCGCACCCCCCTCTGTTTTTTTTTTTTTTTTTTTTTTCCTTACTGGGGCCGGGGTCCCAGGTACCGACCCCCGGAACCCCGGAACCCCGGCGGGGTCCCGGGGCCGGGGGTCGACAACCCTGACTGCAATCATGACATCTAAGAACCATATACACAAGGGACGGATGGATGCTTTGGTAGACGGGAGGAGGAATGGATGGGGGAGCAAATGGATAAACGAATTGATGGAGGTATGGATGCATGAACACAAGGGATGAAATGTCGGACGGGCGGAAGCATGGACGGATGGATGGGTGGATAGCTGGATGGTTGGTTGTGGGATGGGACAATTGTACTAATGGATGAATTGAAGGCCGGATGGATGGATGGAAGAATGGACGGATGACCCAGGACAAGTGGACAGACGACTAGATGGATTCAACAGACAGTATGCACGTGTATCGTGACCCCGTTGGCCCTCGTATGTGTCTCGCACAGTGTGGACCCACACTGTGTGAGATATTCCTAATGAAAGCGACTCCAGATGCAGAGCTGAGTGTGTGTTGTGTCATCCCACATCCTGTGTGAGACTCGGTGTGCGGACCCAAACCCACATCCAGACAGACACCCTACACAGTGACGAGGTCACCAGCCACAGCGGCAAGGAGTTATGACTCTCAGACGTCAGGGGAAAAAAAAACACAAAAAAAAAAGTTTTTGACTCCATTTTTATGCAAAGCACAATAACTTTTTTGTTCTTTTGATATTTCAATATTTTGGTTGTTTTATTTTTTCCGCCGCACATCACGGCGTTCGCAGTGCCAAAGTCTGCAATGACTGTCTCCTCCCATTAAACATATTACAGGAAGGCACGAATACTACGAATGCTGGTCAAAGGGGAAAACATTTTTTGCAACATCACGCGGACGCTCCGGCTTCCTTCGCAGCGGATGCCGTTAGTAGATGCACGATATCCACGACACACTCGACTTTTTTTTTTTTTTTTTTTTTTTAAGAGACAGGTTGAGCAGCGGCTAGGGGCGCTGATACCAACACGCACCACTACCATTGTCGGAGAGTCTCCATGTATTGGTGAGGAGCAACAACTGCTAATCTCTGCTCCCGAACGCGACACACCTTCATACTGAATGCATAGCGCCCAGTTATGTGGTCCAGCACAGTCGGAACAACCGTGCCTCTTTGTGCTCAGGAAGACGGTCTGTCGAGCTCATCGGTCCATCACCGCACAGGGCAGCGCGGGACCCTCCTGGCCGCGTCACGCAGGAGTTGGTTTTATTCCTTCGCCGCGAATATACACGGAGCTTCCGCAAGCCACGCCGGCCGAGTGCGCCAGCCATACCTCCCGAGAGCCCCTACGACAGGATAGGGCCTCCGTGAGGCACGACTTACCTCCACCTTACAGGAGCTGTCACCTCCCTTCGGTGGGCGTATCCCCGCCGAGCTATCAGTCCACAGTACAAAAGTTGATCAGCTGCAATCGTCGAGGTGGACCAGCCGAGGTCGTTTCTCGTTCGCTGTAGCATAGGGGTATGCACGGTAATACGCCTCTATCGGACCCGCACGCGAACTGACGTCTTGGGGGGTTGAGGTCCGAAGCGCAACTCGTCGTCGGTCGACTAGCACACATCCCACACACCACGCGCACACCATTGAACACAAAAAAAAAAAACACACACATACACAAGACACGACACAACATAAACAACGCGATAACGCTCCTAGCCCCTCGGTAGCCATCCCATAACTCTTCGATGTGAAAATTGGATAGGCACTGCGTGCAAGACTTAATATAAAACCGCGCGAACGCAGGGCCTACTCATATCGACTCGTAATGTAAGCGTACGCAAGCGGTCGCAGTGATGGCGTACTATGTAGTACCCATACTCATGCGGCCCTCGTTAATCTCGAGGGTCGCATTCAACACTCAAGTGTCGGCTGACACGCGCCTTGAGGGTTAATCTCTCGACGTTGGACAACCGCCAAGCGAGGTTGAAGACCACAAACCCTCTTCTGCACTCTGTGCAGAGTGGGTGGTACACAAGTCCATAGTTGTGGTGGCAGTCGTTTCTTACTGCCCTGGAGATGAGCTCCACCCCAGGTCTGGACAGAAGTCAAGGGGTTTGACTTTGACGGCTGCCACGGACTACAACGTCCAACCATAAAAATCTCTAAAAAGCAAAGGATAAAAAGGGTCTTCCTTTCCTCTCAAGCCATAGTCTGGGTAACCCTCGCGCATGACCATAGTAAGCCGTGCGCATGCCCAAGGCGCATATAAATATATACGTAAGGTGTATTTATATAGGACAATAACTTCTAACAGTCACAACGGGACTTCTCTCAGCCATATACGTATGTAATCGCAGACAGTCACATCCAAAGTCCGAACCACAAACACACCTGCAATCACATCAAAGATCCAACAAAAGTCCATGCACTATACGGGGTCAAATTCAACCATTCTCTACCCTCGTACCCCTTGGTTTAGCCATATAAACCTCAAACTTTGCGCACCCTGTCAACAATAAAATACTCGGTATTGATAAATGACCATTCAATAAAGTCCGGGTAAAAACACAACAAAACATATCAAACCATAGGGCTAAAGCCTTTAGGTTGAGTGGCAGGAGTGAATTGGAGTTGAGTCGTAAACCGACGAATCAGCAACCGACCTGTTATCAGTGATAACAGCAGATGATCCTTGTGGATCAAGCTGAAACTAGTCCAAGTCCTTAATCAAACGATCAAGAGGACCTGTAACACATGACAGGCCGATCCGCAAGCTAGATCTACAAGTCAATGGAGAATAATCATCATATCACGATCTCACTCAAGAATCATTCTACCTAACTATATCTAAGCCTACCTCTGAGCAAGTGCCCAAGGAAAGGTAGACTCATAGCAAAATCTCCCCTATTCAGAGTGGACTACCAGAATCGCCACCTGTCAAAATATAATCTATCTCCTTTAAACTAAGAAAATTTCGGCAGCGCTTCCCGTAGAAAAAGTGTCTTTCTAGAATTTATAGAAGTTCAAATATGAAAACAGAAATAATCTTTAATTCAGGACAGTCAAATTTTGTCTAACTCCCTAAATTAGTAGAAATTTGGGTAACATTCCCTATATAAAGGGAGACTTCCCAGATTTACACTAAGCTAGATATGAACTCAAAAGACAACTTGAGTTCAACTTAGACAAGATTCAACTAACTCCTTAGTTTTGCAGAAATTTCGGCAGCACTCCCTTTAGAAAAATGTTATTCCAAAATTTATACAAAGCTAAGTCAAGAACTTAAGAATAACTTTGACTTCTCAGAATCCAATTTTGTCTAACTCCCTGAATTAGCAAAAATTTTGGCAGCACTTCCTTTGGAAAGGGAGACTTTCCATATTTTTACTAAGTCAGATATAAAGAAAAGACAAGTTGAACTTTGACAAGTCAATAATTGACAAACTCCTTGGATTTGTAGAAATTTCGGCAGCGCTTCCCATAGAGAAAGTAGCTTGCCAAGATTTATACAAAACCAAGTACAAAAAATGATCCCAGAAAATGCGATAATTGATCTAAGTAAAAAAAAACTTAGCTCAGAAAATGCAGGAATTGAAACTAAAGCAACTACCTATCAAACTGAAACTCAGTCTAAGTAGTAGCCTCACTCAGTCACATGCAGACCAAACCACAAAGGTAAGTACTCTCATCATTCCTTGTATATCTGAACAAACAATAGTTCATGATCTTTCAATGACTTAACCTTTCATACCCAGCTTACGGAAGGCATAAAGTCAGGCCACCCAAACTTATGGAATGTGCCTAACTTAGCGAAGGAGCATACACAAAACAGAGGGCACAACTACTTCTCTCTTCTTTGGGCATATGACTAGACCACTTTGGTCGCCCTGAACTGTTTAAGATATCTAAGTTATATATAATTGTCTGCACTTAGTCTTCTAAGGCTGCATAAGACTGAATTAACTTAAGTTCAACCTTCCCCAACTTACCATGAGTTATATTATTAATTATACTCTCTTCAGGTTGTGATAAGCTATAGTCAGACCACCTAAACTTATAAAACAGTGTGACCAGCATGTTCCTAAATAAAGTAGTAATAGATCATAACCAAGTTATAGCCTTTGGGTTCCAGCATTTGCGAGGCTTTGAGTCAGACCACCTAAACTTACAGAACTGTTTGACTCTTTGCCTGGTTCGTTTCTCTCTGATCCATCAAGTGCGTGGCATTGGGCTAGACCACCTGAACTTACAGAACGATCTGCCCTTTGTCAGGTTCATTTTCTCAGAATAAAACAGGAGGAGGTTAAGCCACCTAAACTTATAGAAAAGCTTAGACCTCCTTGTTCAGAACAAAATAAACAGGGGAAAACTCAAGTAAACAAGGCAACCAAGGCACCTGAACTTACAGAATGCACTTGGCCCCTGAAAAGTCAACCACAATCAGCCCTCACAAGGCAGAGCATCAGGCCACCTAAACTTATGAAACAGTCTGACCCTCCATGCAAAACCACAGCACTGGGTCTCCGCAAACTTATGGGGACTTCCCAGCCTCTAGAGCAATCAGACCCCCTAAACTTATAGAAGGGTCTGATGCTTCATGCAAACTTAAATAAACAGAGCACTGGGTCTCCCCAACCTTATGGGGACCTCCCAGCCTCAATGACCCAGTCAACCATCATGCAAATCAGTCCTCCATCCTGCCTTTCCCAGATGCAGTTTTTTTTAACAGTTTGATTTCATACAATCAACAAAGTTGAAACTGAAATTGAGCAGGCATTTTTTTACTTAGTCTGATTCAGTGTCCTGAAAGTCAAACCAAAACTAGAGTAGGGTTGCACATCATATATTCAGTCAAAGATGCAATGGATGATATAGATAGGGGTTATAGCGGGGTTTATAGAGGGAAAAGCAATGGTTACCTGTCAATTCCCTGCCTGCAGAACTCCTCCCGAGTTCCGGCAGAGCTCCCGCAATCGGTGGGTGGACTCCCCACAGAGTCTTGATGCGGTCCTACTGGTTGCGATCCCGCCTCACGCCTTCCTCTCGTAATTAAAGACTAGACTGAGAGTTAGATGGACAGAAGGAGAAGGTTTCAGTCTCTCAGATCCAAAGGGGGCGCTCTTAGACTCGCAGAAGAGGGCCTTGATATCTTTTTTCGCCTGAGGGCCCCGCAATGGTAGCCAAAGCCCACAACAGTTGTCTGGTTAACTGAAGTCTAACCTCCAGTCATTGACTACTTGATGGCCTCCTAATGCGCTGTAATGACCCCTCCCTTGCAGCGTCGGCTCACTCCCTTTTGAACTTCCTTTTATAGTCCTCTTTGTACAGTCCTCCTATTTCCCATCAGAACGAAGTGTTGGTATGAACATACGGGAATACTATTAGGCATGGCCACACTCGCAATCAGAGAGACTCCAACCTCTACAGTGCCCTTACCTGTTGTACGGAACTGGGTGGACCTCACAGCCAAGTACCATTCTTGTCCTCCCCCTCTAGTCCACCACTCTCTCTCTTCTCGTG